AATATTTTCAAATTATTTCCTGACACTCCTGTGAAGTTATTGAAAGACGTTCTTGAGGCTTTACAGCTATATGACCTGGTAGAATTGCTGTAGAAAGCGCAGAAAATGCAGAAACCGCAACCTGTCAGATCGCTACGGCCCGCTCTTCCTTTACAAGAGATAGAGAAACTGAGGAAAACTACTGATCCTCGTCCCACAACCTTTCATAGTAATGTTGCCGTTCTGATTATTACTTATGAAAAGAATCATCATACAGAAGGGATTGAGAGGTTTTTTAAAGGTTTCAGCTCAAAGAGCGATGTGACTGTATTTGAATGGGAAGAACAGGCTTACGTCGAGTTAGACTCACGGTTATCACGACTATCTTGGTTGGAGACACTGAATAAAAGAAGGGTTCAAAGGATAGAACGGGAGGCGCAGAATGAAATGGTGAACAATGAGACAGCTTTGTCAGCGGTCATAGAGAGGTGGATACACAACCAAGGTTGGTGACAATGAAAATAAAATATTTCCTACTTTATATGAACGTGAACCTGACCTTGCCTCCAACGTAATTTCGTTATATTTGACTAAACATCAATATATTTACCGAGTTTCCATTTCTTTCATTCCAAGATAAATGTAATCGTGTTTAGTTCTGTGAACAGGGGGGCTGGAGTATAGTTGTAAAATGATTGGTGGTTATGAATTCGTAATATCCTAGCAAGTGTTGGAGAATAAACGAGCAAGAGTAGTACAGTCTGGGGTTGGGATGGATTATTATGAGAAGGGCGAAAACAGAAACAACGATACCAATGTCCAACTTTCGTTTAAAAGAAAACTTTCCAAGATTTTGCGCTAGCCTTGCGTGTACGTCACTTTTTGGTAACATTTCTCACGTATCTGAAAAGCGTGGTACGTTTGCAATCATTAACTCCCCATCTCCAATTTATCACCTAACGTAGTCAATAAGAAGACATATTTATCATGCCATGAAATGTCCTTGAAAATGTCGATTTCCCCGTGCTCACGGAAGCTTGTACCAAGCGCGTTTGGGCAGCTTTTCCCGACCTGCTCACAGTAACCCGTCCGATCCTACAAAACTGCCCGCTAATCTCCCTATGTTGTTTTCTTTACATTTAGCACAGCGGTACGTTTAAGAAAAACCGCTGATCTATGTTCTTTTTGTACCATTTTTTTAAGGAAACTATTCATTGTTTGCTGTGTTTGTAGCCAAGACGGTCTTAAGGTATGCGGTTGCCGATGTTGTTGAAAAGCGAATAAAAAGACTGGTGTCCGGAATTCCAGACAAAATTAAATTTGTTATGTGGAGCTGGATGCCAGTCAGTGTCCCAGAAACTTCAGAGAGCCTCATGGTAATCCCTGGTGGCGGATACGTGCCGCAGCTTCAACGCCTGCTGCTTATTCTTAACGAGTGCTGGCAGACGCTGGACCTGATATCAATGATGGAAGAGTTGAAAAGGTCTGTGAATGTAGGGTTTAGAATTTTGCGGTATCCGGGGGGTAATCCAACGGTATCAATAACAGACCGTTTGTCGTCTCGTCCAAGATTTAAAAGGGAGGAGGATCTGACTGACCGTGCGTAAGTTAGTTGTCTTGATAGTTCTATATCTCACACAGCCCCAAGTGATCCTATAGGTGGAAATTTCCTGGTTTTCAAAAACGAAGAAAAAAAAAACCTAATAAAATATCGTGGATAGCTTTGATTGTAGTGTTATAAAACCATTCGTCGCTCAGATGAATAGCCTTGTAAGGTATGATACATCACGTACAGTAAAAGGTGTGGGTAGTTAATTTTCTTAACTCTTTCGTCTGCCTGACCGACAGACACCGTGTCGGTCTAACTTGTGGTCATAAGGACTCGATGCCAAAGGTCTGAAAATCACTTCCACCCTTCCTCCTGCTTTTAGCACCTCTGGGTGCGCCATTGAGTACTTGGTTCTGACATGAAACCAACACTCGAAACATTTTTTTACGATAACTGCAGAAATTCTCGCGCGCTCATTGGCTAATTTTCATTGTCAATAAGCTGAGAAATGTCACTACTTAAGGCGACGTCCACAGTACTTCGGAGAAATTTGAAAAACGATGTTTTCGCTCTGAAAAGGAATCAAATGTTTTCCTTCCACTCACACTATCCCGGAGAAATTTAAAATCACCGGTCATTTTGGATTTTGCGTTTGGGGAAAACTCGGTCGAGGGAATCATATGATCGTGTCGTGATCGTTTTCGAAAAGCTCCGTTTTCAAAATGTTTTACTTCCACACTAAAACGCAAACCTTGGTTTTCGGATTCCTCCGGTTTGAAGAACGTTTTGAAAAGCTCCGTTTTGGTGATGGATTAG